CGGCCGCTGGGCTCACAGGGAGGGCCGCCCCCCAAGAACATGCCGCCCGCGAAGAAGCGGCCCGCCAGCCTGGCGCCGCGCGCCGGGGCGGACGGCGGCGGGGCCCTGGCCAAGAGCTCGGTGGCCCCCCAAACGGAGTGGCTTGGCATCGCTCGGGCGTGTGCATTCGTTTCTCGGCGAGGGCCATCGATGAGCATCTTGCATCGTCTTGCGCGAGAGGGAGAGCATGCGCGAGTCCGAACCGACGCACGGGGAGTGGACGTCCGAGCGATGGCGAGGTGGCGGCCACACCGCGTGGTGAGTCCGCAGGGCTTCGGGGCCACCGCGCACGGCTCTGGGAGCCTGGGCGGCCGAGGCCGCCGAGGCCCCGGCGCGACCGCGCGGTGAGGCCACTGCGGGGGGGGGGGGCCCGAAGCCCCCGTGCGGACCGCTGCGGCACGGTCCAACTGGCCCCTCCCCTCCTCCTCCTCCTCCTCCTCCTCCTCCTCCTCGTCCTCCTCCTCCTCCTCCTCCTCCTCCTCCTCCTCCTCCTCCTCCTCCTCCTCCTCCTCCTCCTCCTCCTCCTCCTCCTCCTCCTCCTCCTCCTCCTCCCCCATCCTCCGGAGGAGGCGACCGGCGGGGGAGGGCGCCGCGCCGGCGGAGGCCGAGCCCGCGCCGCGCCGGCGGAGGCGCGTCGCGGCGGCAGAGGGCGAGCCGCCGGCGGAGGGCGCCGCGCGGGAGCGGGGCGCTGGTTTCGAAATGCCCGTGGCCCACGGTTTATGTCGGGCGTGTCCCCCATACAGGGGGATTATCGACGAAAAATGATTTACCCCAAAAATATTTCAAAAGGGTCAGAGAATACTCAACAAATAGTCCCTACACTATTTCTGGACTATTTTTTGATTATTGTTGGGTTATTTTTCATTTTTCGTCGGAAATCCCCCTGTAGGGGGGCAGGCCCGACTTAACCCAAGGTGTCCCCAGGATCTCCAATCGGGGGTGGATGGATCCTACCCTGACACGTCGATTAAGGAATTGGCCGTTTTCGGTTCGCGGGAGGGCCTCGCGGCCGTCATTTTTGCGGGCCCAGGTCCGTCGAACTCGGTCCCAGGCCGTTTTCATAAAGGGGAGGTTTACTAAAGGGAAGCTTGTCCACCGCCGATCCAAGGAGGCCCCCCCCCACGGCCTCCAGAGTACCCCACACTCGGGCCGAACGAAAGGAGGGGCATAGGGAAAGGGGGGGTTACGAGATCTGCTGCATGCAGCTGGTTCCGGCCCCGCCGCCGGGCCCATTCCTCGATACATGGGCGCCTCCCGGCGCCTGGAGGGCGCTGGGGAAATCAGCTACGTGAGCTGATTCTCTACCCTACCCGTTGCTATCCCCCCCTTTCGTTCCCCCCGACTCACGAGGTCCAGAGGGCCCCAGGGGCTCCAAAACGGAGCGAAGAGTTGGGGCTGCCTTTGGCCAGGGGCACTTCCAGCAGCGCCCGGCGGAGGAGGGCGAGCCGGCGGAGGCACAGTCGGCTGGCTCGCCGTGCGGTGGCAGACGACGGGAAGAGAGGGGGCTTTCCAAAAGACCCCCTCGGGTCGCGAGAAAAAGCGCGACAACGTTTCGTTCGCTACTCTCTCAAGCAGTGGCGAAGCGTCCTGGCTCGCCTGTAGGCCCACCAAAGACTGTTCTGAGAGCCTCTTGTGCTCTGCAGGAAATGTTCTTAGAACATTTCTGGCTGAGACTGGCCTGTTTTCACGCATCGGGCTCATGTTCTAAGAGCATTGTTTTTGTTCTTAGAACATTATTGGGTTCTCGTGGTAGGCCTATAGGAATGCCGGGACGGTCGGTCCCTGCTCGACAAGACCCTATCGGGTCGCGAGAAAAAAGTGCGATGGAACGTTGTTTTTCAGTGTTTTCGCGTTCTGGGAGCCCGTAACCAGGCCTCGGGGCCGTCAGAAAATGGCTCAGGATGGAAAGCGAGTCCTGGGGAAGGGGTCGCTACCTCTTGGAGTCGACGTTATGCAGAAATCATGTCGTCGGGGTCTGGGTCTCGGGCGGGGCGAGGACGGGGACAGATCCGTTCTCACTGCGTTTTCTGGGACGCTCCCCGAGCGTCCTCCGGGGCGCTCCGGCTCGAGGGCCGCGGCGCCCGAGGCATCCTCCAGAGCCCCCAGGTCCCAGACGCTCTCGATGTGTGTCCTCCTCCGATCGATGTGTTCTCGCACAACCAGACCCCAGGGACGGACGCCCCAGGAGGGGGGGCGGGGGCACCGCACACGGGGCGCTCCAGAGAGGGCCTCGCCTTCGAGGGGGGCGAGGGGGCTGGCAGCGCCTCCCCGGCGGAAGGCCGGCGGCAGGCCGGCGGCAGGCCGGCGGACGAGGAGTGAGACCGCCTCCGCTGGTGGAAGGCCGTCGGAGTGCCGGCGGGGGTGAATTCGATGCGCCCCCCAAGAGACGACCATCTGCTCGGGTCCAGGGGGGTCCAGGATTTGCAGTATCCAGGGGGCGCGGATGCCGCGCTCTGGGGGGGGGGCGCTAAATGGGGGGCAGCGAGGGCTGCAGGACAGGGGCCCTTTGGAGCCCCTGAAAGGGCTCCTTCCGGTCCCAAAATGGGGCCTGTAGGGTCCGAAAAGGGCACCCTTCTTCCTCCCCCCCCCCCCATTTTAGTGCACTTTCTCGCCCTCTTTAAATGTACTCTCGTGCACTTTTAAGAGGGCGATCAAGTGCACGAGAAAGGTCACTTTATATAGGGAGTGGTCAGTTATCGCCCCCATATCACTTCACGCCCAAGGGGCTCCGATCGCCCAGGTGTGATGCCCACTCCTCTGAGGCTATCCGCTTCTTCCTTGCCCTCGCCCGCCGAGGTGAGCTCGGGCGCGTGCTCGGCCCGGTGAGCGGAGGCCCGCGGCCCGGGGCATGACCTCAGCCCCCCCGGTGTCAAGCAGTGGCGAAGAGTCGCGGCTTGCTTATGGGTCCACCAAAGAGTGCTCTAAGAACCTCTTGTGGTCTGCACGAAATGTTCTTAGACCATGTTTGGCCGAGACTGTTTTGTTTTTGTTCACGTTCTGAGAACATTGTTTTCGTTATTGGAACCTGGTTTGGGGTTCCAAGAACATGTGGTGGTAGGGCTACAGGGATGCTGGCATGGTCGGTCCCTGCTCGATGGTGTCGGCGCCGTCCCGAGGGTCTTTCAGCGTCGGCGGGCGAGCGGGGGGCTCTCCGCGGGTGGGGGGCTTCTGGGGCGCCCTCTTCAGCTGCGCGAGGCAAACGTGTACACCTTAGGCGATGCTTAAGAAAACCTAAGTTTTCGGCCAGAGTCTCGATTATTCTTAACGTTTCAATGTGAATCCTAAGATTTGAATGGACATTCTGGGTTTTTATTTGAATTCTGAGACTCTCAATTTCTTAGCCCATGATTTCTAAAGCATTTCGCAGGGTGTACGCGGGGGTGGTGCACCACAAGCTCGGCACCCTCGGAGGCCTGCGTGGCTCCAGCCACTCGGACGACCAGCAGACGCTGCGCGGAGTTGCCGATGCTCTGATGAACCAGTGGGACTTGTACATCGGGGGCGTGGCGCACAGCATCGTCGAGCTGGAGGCCTACGTGCACTCCACGGCACACCCCGACCCGTACACCCACGGGGAGGAGGGCCAGGGCTCCTGCGGTGCGTGGTACTTCCACCGGCAGGGGCGCAGCTTCAAGGGGGGAAGCTTCAAGGGGCTGGACCTCGCCTGTGGCTGCGCCCGCTCGGGCGTGTTCGCGGGGCTGCTGCTGCGCGCGGTGTCTGCCGGCCCTGGCAAGCTCGTGGAGGGGCCGAGCCTGGTGGTGGACCACATCCTGCGCCTCAGCTCGGGTGCTGCTAGAAGTGGCCCTGGCCCGAGGGGGGACCCTGGGAGGCGCAGATGACTCCCAGAGCACCCCTCGCGAGGCCCAGGGCACCCAAACTGGCACGAAGCTGGGAGCGCCTTGGGCCAGCACCACTTCCAGCAACACCCGATCAACGGCAAGGGCAGCGTCGCGGACTTCGTGGCCTGTCGATCCGCCGCCGCGCTCCGCGCCTGCAGCACCGAGGGCCTGCGCTTGGCGCTGGCGAAGCCCCCCCGCGGCGACAGGGTCCTGTGCGCGCCGCGGGTCGGCCTCGTGCTGCGCGCGGAGGGGGCCGGCGCCACGCACTCGGCGGGCAGTCCGGCGGACTTCTGCGCGAGGGCCTACCGCTTCTCGGCGGTGCGAGCAGGGGGCCCTGAGGGGTGGGGCCCCGAGCAGAAGGAGAAGAAACGGCATAAACATAAACTTTTGGCGCTCCGCGCGGGTTTCTTGGATCGGCGCCTGGGCCCCCCCCGCCGGAGGCGCCTCGCGCGCTCCGCGCGCCAGGGAGGGGGTCCAGCGCAGATCCAGGAAAGCCGCGCGGAGCGTCAACAGTTTATGTTTCTGCAGTTTTCTTCGTTCCTCTACTGAGGAGAATCTCAAGCAATAAAAGCTCAGCTTGTGATCCGCGTCTTCTCCTGAGGGCCCCTGTTTCTCTGGGCCCCCTCTTTGGACCGTCGAGCTTCTCGACCGCACCCGCGCGGCTCGGCAAGTGGCGCTGCGGCTTCGCCGCGGCGGCGCGCCTGCAGGGGGACGCGGAGGCCTTGGGCGAGCTGGGCCTTCCGGCGGCGAGGCTCGCCGCGTACCTGGGCGCGGTGGACAGGGGTTTGGCGCACGGGGACCCCGCGGCGTTCGTGGACAAGAGCCGGCAGTGCAAAGGTGGGGACTCGAGGGACGGGGCCCCAAGGAGCGGAAGGGATCCCAGGTTGAGTTTGCATCGTTCGAGGCCTCTCTCGTCCCTGGGGCCCCACCCCGACGGGGCCCCCTCTTTGAACCGCCGAGAGAAGCTGGGCACCCAGGCCGAGCTCTGTGAGCTGGCGGGGGCATGCCACGCACGCCTCTTGCGGCACGCCGGGCAGGCCGCACTATCAGCCTCGCGGGGCACAGGCAGGGACATAGCCCTCTCCTTGTCCTGCACTCGGCCCGCTCCTGGTGCCCCTTGCTCCCCCCGTGCCCCTCCTGCCGCCTGCCTCCTCGTGCTGCTCTTCCTCCTTGGTCTTCCTCCTTGCCCTCCTCCGTGTGGTTTCTGCTGTTCGCTCCTCCCTGCGTTATAACTAACCCTCCTGATGCCCATCACCACCAACATCATCAACAACGCCTCCATTATCTTCAGCATCATCATCATCATCATCATCATCATCATCATCATCATCATCATCATCATCATCATCATCATCGTCATCATCATCATCATCATCATCATCATCATCATCATCATCATCATCATCAGCATCAGCATCAGCATTAGCATCAGCATCAGCATCAGCATCAGCATCAGCATCAGCATCAGCACCACCATCATCATCATCATCATCATCATCATCATCATCATCATCAACAGCATCACCATCTTCATCGTCATCATCATCAGCAGCATCAACAGCATCATCATCATCGTCATCATAATCATCATCATCATCGTCATCATCAGGATCATGATAGTGATTGCCATCATCACCGTCATCGTCATCATCACCAACAACAGCATGAATCTAATCAGCATCGTCATCATCACCATCATCATCATCATCATCATCATCATCATCATCATCATCATCATCATCATCATCCGTAGCCATTTTGGCTCAACTTCAAAACGTGTCCATGGCGCTTCGATCTTGGACGCTGCCGTGGGGGACTCGAGCGTCCCATCTTGAAGTTCGGCCTCACATTTCCCGATGTGCGCCAACGCACGCTCTGTTCTGGCTTCCTCCGCTCCCCAGCTTTCCCCCGGGCGTGGCCGCCATAGACATGGAAACCCTCAAGTCCCTGATGGTTGACTGTCTCCAGCCGACCACCGCGCGGCTCGACACCCTCACGGGCCAGATCCAGACGCAGACTCCGAGTCCAGAGCCCTGGCTCAGCATCCGCTGCACGGTTTTCCCGCAGTTCCTGGAGGTCCCCCAAAATCATGACACCCACAGGTCTGTAGTAGGAGAAGCTGTGGTATCCTTGGCCAGGCTCGGCCGCACGCGCTTCAACCTTCCCACTGCGGCGACGTTGGACCTACACCCAAAATGTGGAACCCTCCGGGAACGCGCTCGACAAAGCTTAGCCCTCAGACCGTCCTGATCTGTGCGACGCTGACCCTTGGATCCCGTGGCCCCCCCACCTCCATTCCGTCTCGGGTTCCCGAACATCCTGAATTTGACGAGTGTGTGCTCGGCTGCTTGGGAGCTATTCACTCGACTAGAGGTGCCCACCAAGAGCTTCGGATTCTCAAGATTGATCCTTCGCGGCCCGAGAGAAGATCACGGGCCAAACGTTTCGGAGTGGACCCGGCAACTCCAAGCAGAAGTTGGTTGTTCGTTGCAAGGTGATGAGCGCAGCTCGTTCGCAGCATCGCCCTGTAGTTGATAGATGGTTTCGCGCCCTTCCCGAGCTGCAGGACTTTTCTGATCCCATGCGCACGCGCTCTCTGACTATTGTGGATGTCGCCCATCCCTGGGGATTGTCAGTAGCGAGTGGATCAACGAAGAGATCAGTAAGCTGCCAGGGCCCAGGGAAGAAGGCCACGAGCCCGAGCGTGTATTTCACTTGCGCCAGCTCCTCCGAACCCGGTGTCCCCGCCGACGGCGCCTTCCTCTCGTTGGAGTCGCTCTTCCCTCTGGGCGAACGCGTGGCGGCCTAGAGGAGAGCGCCCAAGCCCTCGCTGAGCATTGGCGAGGAGTGCATGCCGCTGCAGATAGCGCCGACCCCGCCCACGAGTCCATTCCAGTAGAGATGGCCCACGAGGTTCAGGAAGTCCCCCCTGGCATCTCCGGGGCTATCGACTTCGATTCGTGCTGTGGTATTATTGGTTTTCATCTAGGCTCGGCGCGCGGCCCCGATGGAGTTCCTTATCGTGCGCGCCAAAAGAGTGGAGTCATAGGCAGAAAGATCCTGCGCGATGCGCGCACCCGCCTGATGGCCCTCGGCGTTCTGCCTGAAGGTATTCTTCATGCGCGACGCGTTGTTCTGCCTAAAAGTTTTGGAGTTCCAGGGGAAATCGCAAAGACGGCCGACAAAAGCCGACCCGCCACCCTCTCCAAAATCGACAATCAGATTCCGGCCATCCCCCTCGGGGGCCCCATCCAGATTCAGGGACAATACGCGGTATCCGAGGTGCAAGGCGGGTTCAGTAAAGCGCGCAACATCCTGGGCAAGGTGATTTCGATGGAGGCCGCGTTGATCCTGTTTGCCTGCTGCTTAGGCTGTCCGCAGGCAGGTCTGCGGCCGATGGACATCCGCGCCGCCTTCCCCTCGCTGGCCCATCCTTGGACCTTCGGGGCCCTGGAAGTCAGTAGAGTTCCTGGCCGCGCTTTGCAAGCGGTTCGCCCAATCCACTCGAGGATGTATGCCGACATTCCCCTGGCGTGGAAACGTTTCCTTGGGCGTTGGATTTCCAGCGGCGTAAAATTAGGGTGCGTTCTCTCGGGGATACTGTTTGCTATCGCATCCGGCCCTGTCACTCGTCCGATGCAGAAGTTGCTGATGCACATGAGAGGATTCCCCCTTGCATTTGCCGATGATGCAGGTGTGGCGTGTGCCAGCGTTGTCAGAGCCGTGTCTCTGATATTGGATTTCATGTGGTGCGTGGGTCACCTCGCAGGTCTCTGGCTGAACAGCGGCAAGACCGCCCCTGTCTTTGCCCGCAAGAGTGCCGAAGAGGACATCCGCACCATGTTCACGAACATGAGAGCTGATATCTCAGGGAAGTAGAGTTCCAGATGCGGACTGTATCTTGGAGTCTGGGTCGGGCCTGGGCGGGCCCTGTAGGTCGTGGACTTACTCTTGCCAGGAGTATAACGGGCGCACTGGGTCTATCACAAGTCTCTGTCTTGGGTTTACGCGGAGTTTGGTTTGCTACAACTCGCTCGCGTTCAGCGCTTACCTGTTCACCCATCAGCTTCAGCGCCTTTAGGAGTCGGGGCTCCAGAGGCTCACCCGCGCTGCCAGATGCGCGTTCAATTCCAACCTGATTCGGCATGCTGATCGGCGTGGTATTCCAGTCCGTGCGCGGAGCCAGGGGTGCACGAGCAGGGCCAGCATGCATCGAGCTGCCATCGAGAGTCAAGCGGTTTGTGATTTGCCAGTTCAGCACTATCATTGGGGGAATATGGACATCGAACGTTTGGTCATTCCCAGGGGGCGTGAATTGGTGGAGTCCTCCGTTTGCCTCTCGCCGCTGCGCAATTACAGGGCCCTCGCCACCTCTGCCAAAGTAACGACGAAAGTGTATCAGCAGCTCCTCTCCGTCAGTCACCCCCCCCCCTCTATGGGCCACCTGCCCGCGCCAAGAGTACGCCGGCAGCTCTCGATCGCATCGGGGCTGAATGCAAGATCTGCCATTTTCTCGGCGCGGGCATCCCCAGAAATGTGAACAGCGCCTTGCCGACCACCGCTCGATACCGTCAAGCACTATTAGTTGCGCATTCGGGTTCGGCGCGGTCGGCTGCGACCATATGACCCATTACTTTGATTGTCCTCTTGCGGCCCCTCGTCTTTGCGAAGTGACCCCCTCGCCCCCTGCGTGGTGCAGTCATCTCAGCGGATGCGAAAGGCTTTCACGTAAGTTCCCTTATCCCCCTGCCTCCCCCCGCTGTCCTGCATGGCTGTCTTCTTGTGCGTGATTGTTTGCTTTCCGCTTCCAATGCCCCGAGGGGCGAGGAGTCCTTTGGGCCTGGGAGGCTCGCAAGGCTTTTTCAAAAGCAGGGCGCGCGCTGTGGCCAAGAGGGCCCCCGCCAGTCGCGAGGCCCTCAGCGGGCGATCTGATTCTCGAGAGGTGTTCTGATCATTATCCTCATCGCCACCATCACCACCCTCATCATCATCAACATCCTCACCACCGTCACCATGATCGTCGTCACCACCGCCATCATCATACTCAGCTTCGCCATCGTCATCGTCGCTCTCATCATCATCAGCGCAATCATCATCGTCACCGCCGCTATCCACCCGCCGAATGCTGCGGCTGACCAGCCGCCCGCCGCGGCCCACCCGTCAACCGCCGCGGCGGCGGCACGGGGTGGCCTCATGACCCTTAGGTCGCGCCATTTCGGCGGCCGCTGTCGGAGGCACCGCCCGCTGCGGCGAGCGCTGCGCGGGGCCGGGCCCCGAGGGCGCGAGCAGACAGGAAAGCTGGGTTTTCGTCAGGCCAGGATTAAGTCGGGCCCGTCCCTCTACAGGGGGAATCTTCGAAAAGGCAAAACATAGCAAGGGGGCGAGTGGTTGCCTAATTCTGATCATTTGGGGGTACTTCTGGTTATTTCGATTTTTTCGTCCAAAATCGGCCCGCGGGGGGGCCGGCCCGATGTCGGGCCAGGGCCCTGCGCCCAGTCTGACTGAGGCGGAGGGCCCCGCGACTTGCAGCACGAAGGGCAGCCCAGCAGGGCGCCAGCGCGCGGAGGCGCAGCAGGCGGCCCGACGGCGCAGGCGACGCGCCCCCCACCGCGAGCACGACCCAGAGGGGGTCGTCAGGGAACCCATCGGCAGACCCGTCGCCTCGCACCAGGGAGGCCACCCAAGAGGGCGCCTCGACCCCCCAGGCGGCGGCGCTGCGACGGAGGCGGCCGGGCATGCGCCGCGCGCGCGGCGGCGGGGCCCCGGGCGCGAGGCCGAGGCGGCTCGACCTCGGCGGAGACGGCGGGCCGAGGGGCCGTTCGCCGCGACCGACGGTGATCGGCCCCGACGGAGGGCCGCCGCCGTGGCGCGCCTGGCGCTGGCCCCGCGCGCGCCCGCGCCTTCCGCCCCTCCTCCGCGTCGGCCCGCTCCCTGACCTCACTGTAAGAAGCGCCTGGTCGCCGTCGTCGTGATCAGCATCGCCGTCGCCATGACAATCATCATCACCATGATCATCATCATCTGCATCATTGCCATCGCCATCATCATCAGCATCATCCATGTTGGCTCAAGCGGCGGCGTGGGCTGGGGCTCGCAGCTGCCATCTGTTTCACGACTCTGTCTCCTTGTGCTAGCTGTCGATGGGCTCGCGCAGCCGCTCGCGCGAGCCAGTGCCAGCGCCGGCAGCCATGGGCGGACCCGCGATGATGATGCACTTCAGGGAGATGCTGCGCTCCGAGATCATGGAGCCGATGGCGAAATATTCCGCGGACGTGAAGACGCCCATCGACACTGCACGCAGGGGCGTCGAGAGGCACGAAGGGCGCCTCAACAACATGGAGCAGGATATCATGGACTTACGAGAGGGACGTTCGGCGGCTCCCTCACCCACGGCGGCCCCCTCGGTCGGGCATCCGCCGCGCATCTCGGGGGTCGAGGGCGCGTCGGCGCAGCCCGTCGCGTCGGGGCCGAAGAGGGCTTGCGGCAGGATATGTGCACTACTGGCGGCTGGGATCGGGACACACCCCGCGACGCCATTCTGAACGAAGCTTGTGCTTTGGCGCAACTCCCGACGAAGCAGGGGATCGGGTGTTCGTCCCGGGCAAGCGCGCCAGCTTCCTGAAGGTCCGTTTCACGAGTTCGGGGCGCATGTGGGCCTGGGTACGTTCGGTGAAAGGGAAGCATATATTATGCCGCAGCCACATCTCCTGGGTCGTCGCTCTCGGTTCCCTGTGGAGAAGTCCTCGGAGGAAATTTGGCCGCCAATGATGATCGCACGTGCGAAGAAGGAGATGACCGACAACCTGGGCGCGCAGGCGGCGGACCTCGAGCTGGACTACATACGAGGCATCATCTAGTGGGAGCAGCACAGGTTCGGCGAGATGGTGAGGGCCACGGGCCTCATGAGCGTCGAGGGGCACGTCGCAGCCGACATCAGCGCCCACGCGGGCGTGCACCTCCGCCTGGTCGAGTTCCAGGCCAAGGCCAACGCGGGCCAATAACTGGACAAGGAGAGGACTCTGGAGGAGTCCGAGGAGCAGATGCGCCCCCAGCTCATCAGCTGGAACGCTCAGGGCACTGCGAAGCACAGCGCCGAGTACTTTGCAGCGACGCTGCGCGAGCAGCACGACTACGACGTGGCCATCCTCCAGGACTGGGGCAAGACTACGAGGCTGGATGTCGGCGAGGGCGACCTCTACCTGGTCGCGCCGCGGGCCGAGGGGCAAAAGCAGATGGGGGTGCTGGCGCGCTCTCGGGCTCGATTTTCTCTACGAGGAGCTCTACTGCCACGGGGGCGCTCGGCGGCGCGCCGCAAGAAGGACTAGTGGATAGAATGCAGTCACCTTTTTCCAGGGCGTTCCCTCAGTCTGAACGAGGATTCCATGGAGGAGCTCTCAGACCTGATCATGATGGCACCGCCTTGGGCGTGCCCGATCGCGGGCGCGGACGCGCAGACGGCCCCCCCCCCCCCCCCCCCCCCCCCCCCTTGCAGGCGGACGAGGAGCGCTGGATTGGGGGCTCCCCAGTCGGTCAGCGCACACGTCGCGCCGAGATGTTGACGAGACTTCCCATGCAGCACGGCCTGGCGGCGACGAACGCGTTCACGGCGGCGGCCAGCGGACCCACCTACCATTTCGATTTCAAGCGCCCGCCAGTCCATATCGACTGTGCCATGATACCCGCTCGCGACATCTGGAAGGTCAGCACCGCGCTCGAGGAGACCACCGACTCGCGCAATCCGACCACTAGGCTATTAAATTGGAGCTTACCCTTGGCACCAGGAGGCGCTATATCTGAAACGGAGGTCGCGCGCCCATGAAGGGCTGGACCTGCCTCGGCAACCGCTTCCAGCGCTGGGGCCACAGCACTTGCTACGCCGACCGCAACCCAGCTCCGATTACTCCCATGACGGACGCAGCGCGCCTGGCTGCCGCTTCCTGTGGCAGGGGCCCGCCTGCGAGGAAGGTCCCCAAGCTCCCCGAGGGCCACGAGCTCATGCAGACGCTGCGGGTCGTAGAGGCGCGTCGGCGGGCCACCCGCGACCGCGTTCAGCGCGCGATCTACAGCAAGGGTATCATCAGGATCCGCAGGAAGATCTGGACCTCAAACAGGGCCTTGCAGCACTGTCTCCACGAGGCTGGCATCCCCTTGTACGAGCGCCTCGCCGAGCTCAGCCTGGCCCGATCCAGGGAGCTCCTGGAGCGCGAGTATGGCAGCGCCTTCAGGGCCAGCGACGGGGAGGAGCCTGTCGGGGTCTCTGCCTACCCGACCCACTTCACGACGGAGGATGTACTCGATATCCCGCCCTTCTCGCCCGAGATGCTCCGCGAGTCTCCGTGCGACATGAAGGCCGTGCAGGCGCTAGGCGTGGGCGGGGTGGTGCGGGCCCTCGACTCGGGCGTCCTCGCCTCGCTCGCGGCCGTCTTCGTGAACCGCCCCCGCGGGGTGCCCGAGTATGCCAGGGACCAAGCATGGTCGAAGCGCATCATCCAGCTCATGAAGAAGAAGGGAGACATGCACACGCCCAAGGGGAGTACCTTCGAGAAGCTTTACTCGGTTGGCCTGATCAAGATGCGCGCCAACAAGTTGGCCCTGCGGAGCCCACAGCGCGCCTATCGGAAGGTCCACCGAGCGATGGACGTGATCTTCAGCGTGCGCATGCTGGCGGAGAAGGCCAGCGAGTGGAACCGACCCATCTTCATCATGGACGGCGATATCGAGGCGGCATTCGACCGCGTCTCGCACCGCTTGGTCGAGGAGACACTGAGAAGAAGGGCTGTGCCAAGGCCCGTGGCCCTAGCCATCAACAGGGGGTTGAAGGCCTCGGCGGTGATCAAGATGGGCTCGATCCAGACGCAAACAGCACCTCGGACTCGCGGCGCTCGACAAGGACATCCAGCCAGCACGATCCTCTTCAATCTAGTGCTGGAGGATGCCTGGGAGGAGTTCCTGGGCGCATGCGGGGCACGCGGCTGGGGCTGCGAGTTCCCGGGCGAGGCGGGACTTCTCTGCGCCGGCAACTTCTGCCTCGTTCCGGGGGTTTTCCTTGCCTCGGCTCTATTTTCACCTTCGATGGAAGGTCTTGGAAGGACACGCAGCACAGGGTAGCTCGCGCCAGGGGAGCCTTGCACGCTCTCGAGATGTCTCTACCTGGGCGCGCCTGCCGCTGGCAGCAGGCCACGAAGCTGCTCGAGCGAGCAATCAAACCTGTCTTGCTCAACGGGTCAGGATCGTGGTGCCCCGCGGTCAAGGATCTCAAGCCCATTCGAGCCACGCACCGCAGAATGTTCTCTCAGCTGATTTGCACGCAGAGATGGAAGGAGGAGACGCCAGAGGACTTGTGTCGCCGCTGATGGCGCCGCGTCTCTGCCGCTCTCCAGTCCCGCGCGACATGGGACTTAGACGTGAATCTTCGCATGTTGACCTGGGCTGGGCACCTAGCCCCAGGCGCCACATCAGTCCAGCTTGTGCCTGTCCATCTGCTACAGTGGCGCAGCATGGCCTGGCTCCAGAGAGTGCAACGCGATCACGGGTCCCAGACGCATGGCCGGAAGTTCATGGCCTGGCGATGGGAGATGGACCTCGCCCGACTGCTCGGTTTCGATTGGCTCGCGGACGCAGGCCATTGCAGCAAGGTAGAATGGCTCGCTCGCGTTCGCCCGCTCGCATGCCAGCTGCACTGACCTCAATCTTCTCGGGCCTCACGCGAGGCGCTTTTGCATAGCGTTTCTTTCAGCAGCTTGACGTGCCGCCTCAGGCGCAGGGGAGGCCTTGAGGGCACGATGCAAAGTGCAAACTGCATCATCATTACGAGCTTCATCATAAGTGTCATCACCGTCGTCGTCATCACCATCATTATCATCATCGTTGTCATCGTCGCCATTGTCACCATCACCATCACAATCCGCCCCACCATTACCATCATCATCGCCATCACCATTGTCAGCATCTTCCCCGTCATCACCAGCATTACCATCACGGTCACCACCATCACTATCCTACTCATCATCACTACCATCACCATCACCATCACCAGCATCGTCGTCATCACCAACATCATCGCCATCAGCTTTATCATATTCATCATCATCATGCTCACCGTCCTACTTACCATCATCACCATCGTCATCCTCATCGGCATAATCATCACACTTTCCATCACCATGGCCATCACCATCATCATCATGGTCATCATCAGCATCATCAACGTCATCATCATCATCATCCGCATCATCATGATGTTGAGGACGGTCATCAACAGCATCATCATGGACGCGTGTATTCCACATCCCCCCTCGTCCTCTTCCCGCCGCGTCCTCGAAAAGCAGTGGCCGTCCTCCTCTGGCAGCCGGCCCTTCCCCACAGGACATCGAGTGGGTCCTGCGGGATTCTGGCATGTCCACGCGGTACGCCTCCACGGGCGTGGGGGACAAGGCCGCCTTTCGAACAAGAAGCGACGCCGTAGACATACAGCGCAGACCCATGCCAGTAAACACCCTGTTTGCCTTCAGGGTGCCCTGGGTGTTTTGGGTGTCGATTGTTTTGCGCTGGAGAGCGTGGCGTGCCCACACCAAAAAATTAAGGGACGCCCTGGATCCTCAGGGTTGGGATTCTCGTGGAAGGTTTCTTCTGGACTGGCCTCCACTGCAAAACCGTCGGAGCACCGAGCGGATCTCTTGGATCGGCGCTGGGCCCCCCTGGCGGCGCCTCTGGAGCCGTGCTTGGGCGCGTTCCGCCGCGCGCTGGGGAGGGGGGTGCATCGCCCATCCAAGACATTCGCGCGGCCATCCGAAAGTTCACACGTTCAGCTGCCCTGGCACGCTCGTTCTGCCAGGCTGAACGACATGGGGGGATAGAGAAAAAGGGGGGTACGACATCTGCTGCATGCAACTGGTTTCGGCCCCGCCGCTGGGCCCATTATTCGATACAAGGGCGCCTCCCAGCTGGGAAAAATCAGTTGCGTGAACAGAGAAAATCAGCTACGTGAGCTGATTCTCTACCCCACCCTTTACTGTCCCCCCCCCCTTCGTTCCCTCCGAGAGACGTCTGGGCTGACACGCTGCGTGTCGGCTCAACGTGTCGGCACACGTCTTGGCGAGCCCATCGCGCCTCTTGAATGCACCTGTGCAGTCTCCGTGTTGGGTTCCGTGCGACCACGCCACGGGTTGTGTGCGGCGCATCGGGGCGCATCGAACCCTGCGCGACGCGGCCTCAGGGGGGGCGGGGGTTCCCGGAGGTCTCACGTCCGCGGTGGTTCCCGGGCGACTCCCTGGAGGTTTCTGGATGCTCCTGGGCAGGGCCCTCCGTGCGGCGTTGCCCTCGGGTTCCTGGAGGGGGAGCGGAAGTTCAAGTTCTCGGGAAGTGTGCGGCCACGTGCGTGGCATGGCCGTTTTGTCAGCGTCGTCGTCGTCGTCGGCGTCGGCGTCGGCGTCGGCGTCGGCGTCGGCGTCGGCGTGGTCCTTGCCATCGCAGCCCCGCCGTCGGTGACGTCGGTGACGTCGGCGCCGCTCTCGCCTCGTGTAATCATCCCTCCTTCTCCGTACCCTCCTCTCTTCCGACCTCCCTAGGCCTCCATCCACCTCTTCCCAATCCGTCCTCTCTCGCCCCTCCCTCCCTCTTTCCTCCCTCCCTCTTTCCTCCCTCCCTCTTTCCTCCCTACCCCCATCCCTCCTCCCTCGCTTCCTTCTCCTCCTTCTCCTTCTTATACTCCTTAGACTTCTGCTCCCCCCTACCGCGCAAGGCCATCTGCGTGGCGTGGCTGACGGAGAGGCGGTCCCCGCGCGAAGCAGCCTTTGGGGTCGCACAGGTTTCGCGTGGGGTGTCCGGACGAAGGGGAAGGACAGAGACGAGGGGAGAGGAAGGAGGGAGGAATGGGGATTCATAGGTTGCGCGTGGGGTGTTCGGGCGAAGGGAAAGATGGAGGAGGAGAGGAGGGAGGCAAGCTGGATTCGCCCGCTCCACATGAACCCCCAAACCGAAATTACTGTGGGGTGGGGGGGGGGATTGGGTGGTTTGATTGATTTTGTGGGTGTCTGATCTGCGGGGTCTAACTTGCTGGTCTGGGAGGGTTGTGCCCCCCCCTTTCCTTCTGAACGCCAGAGCGTTCCCTGCCAGCTCATCCCTTCAGCAACGTTTGGCTCCTTTTTTCTGGTCGTCGAGCCGGGCGTCGGACCAGGCCGTGCTTCCTGAGTGGCATCGGCGACAGCGGAGACCCATACCAAGAAACACCCTGCTTGCCTCCAGGGTGCCCTGGGCTTCCTGGGTTGCGATGGTTTTCCGATGGGAGGTGTATCCCTCTACAGGAAGAATATTCAAGAATGGTAGAACAATAGAATCTGGTGACGACTTCCGGCTATTCTTGGACTATGTATGAATATGGATTTGCTATTGTTTATTGTTCTTCCAACATCCGCATGTAGGAGGACATGCCCGACCTGACCCTGAGTGGCATCGGCGACAGCGGAGACCCATACCAAGAAACACCCTGCTTGCCTCCAGGGTGCCCTGGGCTTCCTGGGTTGCGATGGTTTTGCGATGGGAGGCGTGACGTTCCCATACCAAAATATCATGGGCGCCCTGGGGTCTCAGGATTGGGTCTCTCGTGGGAGGCTTCTTGGGGTGGGAGCCCCCTGTGCTGGGACCGTCGTGCACCGAGCAGGGAGAGGCGGGGCAAGCCGAGGCCAGGCAGCCCGCAGGGAGGGATGGAGCTAAGTCTGGGCCCCGGGGGCGCAGAGGAGGCGCCGTACAACTCGAGCAGCTCCACACGAGAAGCAGGCACGAGACAAGGGTAGCGAAAAGGAAGGAGTGATCGAAGAAGGAAAAATGGCATAAACATGAACTTCTGGCGCTCCGCGCGGATTCCTTGGATCCGCGCCGGGCCCCCTTGGCGGCGCCTCGGGCGCCGCCCCTGGCGCGCTCCGCGCGCCAGGGAGGCGGGTCCAGCGCAGATCCAAGAAACCCGCGCGGAGCGCCAGAAGTATATGTGTTTATGGCGGTTTTCGTTTCGTTTCTAAGTGAGGGCAGCGCAAGCCACCCCAACCCACTCCCGACCTGGTAATCCAGGCGGTCCTGGCTGGGGGTGGGGGTGTTTTGCCGGGCTTCGAGGTGGGGCAACAAAACCACCTTCACCCCTTGTCAGGACCCCCTGGATCACTGGATCACCAGGTCCGGAAAGGGTACCTTGGCTGGGGTAAGGGCGGGGTGTGCTGTCCTCAAGAAGGATCATGGCGATGATGGTGAGGAGGAGAAGGAGGAGGACAAACGACGACTAGGCCGGAGGAGATGATACGGGAGGGGAAGGGAACAAAAGGGAAAGCGTGGGAGATGGAGTTGGACCAGGAGCGTGAGCAAGAGCACCAGGAGGACGACGAGGGGGAAGAGAGGGACGAGGTTGAGGAAGAGGGGACGTGGGGTGGATGAGATGAGATGAGATGAGGCAGCGGCCTGAAGCCAGTTCGGGGGGCCTAGTTAGGCCCCGAATCGGAGGCCCTTAGCACAGCGGCTCGGGACCCCAAGCCCTCAAGAGAGCACACACACCGCAGCCCAGCTCCACCCCCCGCCTTCTCGTCCTGAGCCGCCGTGCAAGGGGTAGCCTTAACTCGGGCATGTCCCTCTACACGAAGAAAATTCAAACATAGTTATAAAACATAGTTTCGGGACGGAGTTGTTTTACTAAATTGTGATCATGTTTGAGTGCGTTTTGACTGCTTTATTTGATGTCCGACGTAAGGGTAGCCCCTGAGTCTAAACATGGAAGCCAATCGATTACGCACGCCCTCGGGCCAGCCGCGTGTGGGGGTACCTTCTTGGTGGGGTGTGTTTACCTGGACGTCGGCCATGCGTGGTCGAGTCGCTTGCGATATGCTTCGTGGTATTGAAGGTGGCGTCGCGCGAGACCAGCTCCTTCGTGATCTTGTCAGGCATGCGGCCCCGACGCTGGAGATACCGGACCGCCTGGGCTCAAGCAGTGGCGAAGCGTCTTGGTTCGTCTGTATAGGCCTACCACAGAGCGTTCTAAGGACCTTTTGTGGCTTCCACGAAATGTTAGAACATTTCTGGCTGGGACTGTCTTGGTTTAACGCATCGGACTCATGTTCTAAGAGCGCTGTATTTGTTCTTGGAACATTTTTGGGGTTCCAAGAAGATTTCGTGGTGGGCCTATAGAAATGCCCGGACGGTCGGTCCCTGCGTAATGGGCTGGCCTCTCTCTCTCGGGCTGCCACCGCAACCAGGGGGGCCAGGCTGCGTTGCGCGTTGCCCGTGAAGGTCGACGATGGGCAGCTGCGGCGCGAGGGCGCCAGGACAGCCGCCGTCGTGGTGCAGCGGGACCTTACCGCCTGGCCACTCCTTGAGCCAAAGCTGGCAAACGTTCCCCCTTTCTCCCTGAACGGGAGTCTCGGGAAGGCTTCACCCTGCCCCGAGCGTGTGTCCTGGGCGCCACCGATACAGCCCCGAGAGCTCCGCAGAGTTGCGAAGACTTCCGAGAACGACCGAGAACCTCCGAGAGCGATCGAGAACACCTGGGAGACCACGGGAAAAAACCTCCAAGAACCACGAGGCGAGGGCGGCACGAGCGACAGTCTGGGCACGCCGAACACGGCCGATGCCACAGACGGCGTGCGCCTCTCGCCGACAGGGCCCGAGACTTGAAGCCGGCTCGAGAGCCGGCGACTTCGCAGCGTGGGCGACGCCGGGGCACGCTTCGTGGCGCTCTCATCCGCGGACCGCCAGCCAGTGCCTCCGACATCCTGGTTCCTTCGGTCCGGGGGATTCTGGAGCTCTCGACCCCTTCCCTGGGGCAGGTTTCCCGTCCTGGACCGGCTTCGCCAGACGCGCAGATCTGGAGGTCACCGCCGATGCCCGCAGCATCCGTAGAACCGCCTGATCGCAGGCGCGACGTCCGGAGCAGCCGATGCAGAGCAGAACGATGCCTCTCGGCAGGGCGCCACGTTGCCAGTCCACCTTCTCGCTCGTTGCTCGGCGCCAAGCCTGGGGGGGGAGTGAGAAAGGGCGGGCCGTCTCAACAGGCTCGGAAGTCCCCCGACCTTCTGAGAAGTGTTCTAAGCCTTCCCCAAAGACACAAAAAGCTTTTCAGAAGGCCGAAGCGCTTCTGAGAAGCCCCGCCGCCCTCTGAGAAGGCCTCCTCCTCCTCACTTCCCCCCTCGCTCGCCGCCGAGTTGTCCCCCGAAGGCTCACGGGCCCGTCTTCCGAAGGCCCCGCGGCCCCCAAAACGGGGCCCCCGCAGGCCCAAAGTGAGGAGAAGCCGGCCGTCGCGCCCGGTTCGTGGCGCCGGGGTCCTGGGGCGAGGGGGGCCCCGAGGATCCAGGCCCATGTGTCAGAAGCTCGTGTTGGGGGACCTTCCTGGGGCCCACCTAGCGCATCTGTTCGACTCAAGCTCGACTCAGGTTCGACGCAGCTTCGGCGCAAAGTCGGCTCGAATCGACGGACGTTCGACGCAGCTTCGACGCACGAGTGCAGCGAGTGTCTCCGGGAAGGTCCCCCGAATGAGGATCCAGGCCCATGGCCCATGTGCTGGACCGTGCCAGTCTTTCGATCTGCGTCCAGCCACGACCGCGCGGAACCTCCACAAAGCCGAGGGGGGTCATGACCCTCGGAACAACGAGTTTGGCTTTGCGCTCTGGGCTCTGCGAGTTCGGGCTTTACGGGCCTGGGTCCTTCTCCACGCGCGCGCGGAAGCATGCGGGGGAGGGGCGAGGAGGAAGATTAAGAGGAGGAGGAGGAGGAGGAGGAGGAGGAGGAGGAGGAGGAGACGTTCATTTTCCAGATTACAGATCATCGTGTTGGCTCAGGGTGAAGACGTTCCAGTAAGGAATACGTGTGCCTCAGTCGGCGATGATTGTCTCCGTTCATGGATGCTCAGCATCAAGCGAGGATATCTAGAAGGCGCTGCTTCATTCGAGGTCAGACTAAAGAAGTGTGATCGGGAAAAACAGTGGAAGGCATCGCTTCAATTGCTCCACGAAGCGATTCAATCACGCGTGGAATTAATCCCACGTCACTACGTTGTGATAATCAGCATTTGCAGAAGATGCGGGCAGTGGCAACGGGCGCTGTCGCTCTTCCGTGAGATGTGCGAGTCCAAGGTGGAGCAGAATGTCATCAGCTATAGACCCCCCCCAGAGCCGACAGGCCAAGATCATTGATCTACTATCGGTATTTTTGACGGATTCGCGAATTCTCGCCTCATTCGCTTAAGACGGCCTAAGGCGGTTCATTTTTGGCGGATTCGCGATGATGAAATATTGCCCCAAGACGGCCCAACAAGCCACCAAGAGAGCCCCCGAGCGGCCCAGAGAGGGCCCCAAAAGGGCCCAAGAAGGGGGCCCAAGAGTCAGGAGGGAAAAAATCATTCAGACAATTAATCCTCGATTCCCAGGAAAATATGCAAAAATATGGGAAGTGGTGGGGAAGACAAAAACCCAGAAAATATGGGAAAATATGGGGGATATTTTTATTTGTGTGTATTTATTTGTGTGTTCCAGTTCCCCTTCAAAGAGGGCCCCCCAGATGGGAAACCCGAACTAACGTCTCGCACCCTCTGCCCCCCAGATGACCCCCGATACCGCCAGCAGGCCCGCTCGAGGCCCCCCAGAAGCTTCTGGAGGCCCCCACGAGGTCCAACGCAAAAATCTGCTTTCTCAAAATAAATTGTCAAGTATCTTTCAACTTTTCGCAAAACCACCAAAAGTTGCCACATTGTCCGCCTCGGCCGGCTGGGCCAACTAGCTCCACCCCGCGCCGGAATTCCTCTAGCTCATCGATGCCGAAGAGCTCTACGAGGTAAGAACCCAGAAGTGCCCCCCAGAGGCCCCAAGATGCCCCCACAGCCGCCTCCAAGAGGCTTCCGAGGGAAGATCCCTCAGAGAGCTCCTGGACCGCGCCAGCAATCCAGGAAAGTGCAGCACCATGCGCTTCTTAGCGGAGCAAGGAGCCAGCCAGCCAGCCAGCCAGCCAGCCAGCAAGCAAGCAAGCAAGCAAGGAAGCAGCAAGCAAGCAAGCAAGCAAGCAAGCAAGCAAGCAAGCAACGTGCCATCATAAGCAGGCAAACTGTTCACAGGCAGCACTAGCAGCAAGCAGTCCAAGGAACCAAGCAGCAACAAACACCCTTTGCACACGCTGGTTGACGTGTGGAGGGACCACGGGTGAGCCATAGTCTCTCCCACATCTCTCTCACGGTGGGCAAAATCGCCCCCAGCGGGCCCTGGCGGGCTTCGAGACGGTCCCAGATGGCACGAGACGCCTCCAGACGGGCCACGAGATTTCCAAGATGGTTCTCAGACGGCCCCACAGGGCCCCAAGACGGTCCACGAGGGCTCCGAGAGGCCCCCCAAGGGGTCCGAGAGGCCGAAATCATTGATTTTCCTTAGGTTATCCATGGATTGTGACGTTCTCTCCTTCTCGGGTTCCCGACGCTCCAAGACGGCCCAAGAGGCCTCCAAGATCGCCCCGGCACGGCCCAACAGGCCCCAAGGGCCCCCAGCCCACGAGGGCACAAGACCGCCCAAGCCGCCCCCAAGGCGGGCCCTGGCGGGCTCCGAGGCAACACAAGATGACACGAGACGCATCCAGACAGCCCAAGAAGTCGCCAATATGGTTTCCAGACGGCCCAACAGGGCCCCACGACGGCCCAAGAGGGCTCCGAGAGGCCCCCGCCAAAAGCATTGATTGCGAAGGCCTTGCGGCAGCTGCCGCCGACCCTGAAGGGAAACAACGAAGAAGACGACGACGACGCTGGCGAGCCCTCGGGGGGGCCCTTGTGTGCCCTGTTGGACTCGGCCCCCCCCCCCTCCCCCTGGACCCTCCCTCTCTGGGAACGCCCCCATAGCGATCCCCTCCCGGGGAAGGTATCCAGGGCCTCTCCCTCGGCTCGATGGGTGCTCCCCCTCTTGCGGCTCCGTGGGGCTTTCTGGCGGCCGTCTCGGTCGGAGAGGGGGGGAATACGGCCCCCGGGACCCCCCCCCCCGGGACTCTGGTCGACCCAACGTACAGCCCCTAAGACTTGTACTGCAGTGTACTGCAACGAACGTATTGTACGCGAAGACCCAGCAATACATCTGCGCCCTGGAGCGTACTCCACGCCACAGATCTGTTGCAGCCCCACAAATCAGTTGCACCAAATCTGTTGCACCACCCCCTTGTCGCGGGATCCCCTTTTGGGTCAACCTGGTGGACTCCCCCCGGTGAAAGGGTGGTGGTGGGGGAGTGTTGGACCTCCCTCGTGACCCCCCCACCCAGGCTCGGGGAAGGGATCAGAGGGAAGAGGCGTCTTGTCGAACTTGTTGTGACGCTGTTTGATTTCCGTCTGGCTTTCAGTCGGGCACGTCCCTCTGCAGGAGGAATATGGCCAAATCGTCGAAAGATAGTCTGGGGACGATTTTTGGAGCATTTGTTGATGTTTGAATGTTTGTTAGGGTATGTTTCACTTTTCCTCCAGAACCCCCCTGTAGGGGGACACGCCCGACTTAAGTCTGGCTGGGTCGCTTGAGGAGGAGGGCCCAGGGGAAGGGAGGGAGCGGCGACGGCGACGACGACGACTCCAACGGGAAACCATCTTACACACGCCGACAGGTTCGGCGGATGTTCCATCGGTTGTTCATTGATTTGGGAGTTGCGTTTTTTCTGGCTTCCGGTTCTCCAAGACGGCCCACGAGGCCCTGGAGATCGCCCCAACACGGCCCAACAGGTTTCCAAGAGGCAGCAAGCAAGAAAGCAGCAAGCAGCAAGCGAGCCATCCAGCAAGCAAGCAACAAACCAATACAAACAGGCAAAGCGGTCGGAAGCAGCGCCAGCAGCAAACAGTCGAAATGAACAAGCAGCAGACATCGACTCCTCGAGCCGCCAACCCCACGCCCTCGAGGAAATCCCCGAGGAATGCGCCCCCAGACCCTGTGGGGGGATCTGTGCAGACAGGTCTCTCACCCCAGGTCTATGTTTTGGCGGCCTCGGAGCCCCAAAAAAGTCTTCTTCAGATGTCAGAGGTTCACAAGCACGGCGACCCTCCTCGAACCTCGACGCTCCTCGCCCATCTTCCCTCGGCCGTCGCTCCTCCCTTCTCTCTCCTCGCCCTCCGCTGCTCGCTCATCGCTGCCCCCTCGATGCTCTCGCTCCTCGCGCCTCACCCCTCGCCCTTCGACCCCCTCCCGGCAGCAGGCTGCGTCGGCACGCTTGCATAGATTTGATGCATGTAGGATATGTTTTATCCGATTCCCACGTTTCACGATTTGCACGCGTGCGTTACACGAGTGTGTATGTTTTGTACATATTGGGTCCATCTGCAAACGTTTGGGCTCATCGTTTAGGCACTGCGCTGGAAAAGGACCCATCCCAGAGTCAAAAGTTATGCACATGGTAGGTGGAGCTTCTGCCGACAGCCGCTCTTCTGCTGTTGATTGGAACGTTATCGGTAGCAGCTCGGAGTCAGACGAGAACGAGAGCAGGATCGGCCAGTTGAGGTGCTTCGCAGGCTACTGTAAGAGGATTGTTTTCAAACGCCGACTGTGGCCATCCCTCGGGCAACATCTGCTCGAGCAGAAGAAGTTTCGTGAGAGATGCAATCAGCAGATCTACTTCGAGATCAAAAAGGGAGGTGCTCACCAGACAGATGCAGCTACTCACTCAGCAGCAGCAGAGTCATCAGCAAGATCTACAGCGGCTGGGAGCAGAAAACCAACGCCTGCAGGGATAACTCCAGCAGCGAGGAACAGCAGCAGCAGCAAAGGGCACAGCAGGTGACCAACCACTTGCAGCCCTTGTGGAGATCCTTCGTCAGGACATGGCGAATCAGAAGCAGAGTTCTAGATTGGTAGACGCTCGTGGCATCGGCAAGCCAGCAAATTAAGATGGCGACGGCAGTCGTTGGCGAGAGTGGCAGGCCAAGATCGAATCATTTGTCTGCTCGGTGTTTGATGGTAACTTTCGAGACGTCTTGGAGCGGGCTTCGGAAAAGTCCACGACCACCACGGACAATGATATGAATGAAGCTTGGGGAGATGGAACCAGTGCAGATCAGATCACAGACATCGAGCCCAAGAACACGCAGCTATACGCAGCCTTGCAGCAGCTCGCTTCGAAGGAACCTTTCGATCTGGTCATGAATTCACCCAAAGGGAATGGACTAGAGCTTTGGAGGAAGATTTGCACGCGTTACGATCCAGCGACGGGGGCCCGAAAGCGCAATCTACTTCGCTTGATTCTCAATCCAGGCCGCCGCGCGTTGGACAATTTAGCGCAGTCTCTCGAACGGTGGGAAGATGAAGTTTCTCAGTACGAACGCCGCAAGGACGACGCAGGAGAGCGCGAGACCATCAGTGACCACATCAAGATTGCAGCTTTAGAGAGTTTGCTTCCAGAAGAATTGGAGCAACATGTCCTTTTTGAATCAGTCTCGCATCAAGGACGACGACGCCTTGAGAAGGGAGGTCATGCTGTACACCGAGGCCAGGGCGGGAGCCAAGATTCGCGAGCAAAACGTTCAGACCGGTGAAGCTAGGCGATCCGATCCCAATGCCATGGGCGTCGGATCGACGAGCCGCGACGGCAAAGGCAGCAAAGGCCAAGGCAAGGGTTGCGACGGCAAAAGTGGCAAAGGCAAGGACAAGGGCGGCAAGACTGGAGGCAAGGCCAAGTCCAAGGGCGCATTCAATGCTAGTACGGTCTGTTGGAATTGCGGCGTTCCTGGTCACAAAGCAGAGAACTGTTGGACGTCAAAGCGCACTGGCGGAGGTGAGTCAGATTCGAAAAGTGGCAAGTCGAAGAGCAAAGGTGGAAGTGAAGGTGGCAAGTGGGGATCCTAACCGGCCAATCAACTGGACGCCGAGGGAGACGGGGAGCATCAGGAACAACCATGACCAGAAGAGGCCATGGTATTGGAGCTGCGCCATTTCAATTTTCGCGGAGATTTTGGTGGCAAGAGTTGCTGGAAGAAGTGATGCCAAACATCGTGGTCGAAGAACGTTACCTGTTCTCTTGGGAGTTGGGCCAGGCTGAACTTCGACACCGATGCAGCAGCTACGGTTCTACTTGAAGATTAGGCTCCAGCTGCGTATCCTGCGACAGGTTGCCAGCGTGGCGCAGCCACAGGAGAGTTGATTTCAGACGGCGGC